AGGCACGGTGCCACCCCATGGTAAGGCCATCAGAGCTGGGAGGGGCACGTGAGGAGGGTGGCTGGCACGGCTGGCCTTGAGCTAATTGTATCAGTCCTGGGCATGGAGCTGTCTATCCGGCTGTCCAGGCGGGCGGGTGCTGGAACTGGGCCACCTGCCAAGGTCCAGCCTCCATGTCCAAACCAACCTGGACACCGAAGTTCCATTTTGGCCCCTCTCACCCTGACCCTGGTGGCTGGCAGTTCCCACATAGATCCAGACGGCCATGGTGGCAGCTGCTATCCCTCCTCCGGAGGCTGGCACCTCCCCTGATGTGGCCATATGGCCCCACATGCTCTCTGACAGCTGGAGTGCTGAAACAACTGCCTACGGAGGCCCTGCAGAGGCCCCGAGGCCTCGGTCGCCCCACCCACCCCTGCCCAGCAAGCACAGGCATAGCCAGAAAAACCTGAGACTGCAGTGCCCGCTCCCAACTTGCTTAGTGACCTTGTGCTGGTCACTGCCCCGCTCTAGGCCTCAAGCTCTTCCTCTATCAAATAGTATCACCTCACTACTCCTCTACCCCTTTTCCTTTGTAGTCCTCTACCCCTTTTCATTTATAGCCCTCTTCTGAGGTTACAAACTCCCACTCAAACTCACTCGTTATCCACAGAGACAAACAAACACATCCACTTTACAGACATAGGAACTAAGGCAGACCCACAGGCCTCAGGGGCTTACTGAAGTGCACACAGTGGCAGGGTCAGTACTGGAGACTGCATCCATGACTTCAGGACACTTGCCACCTCTGTATGCCCAGGTGGTGGGGCCTATGAATCCTGAGCCCTCGCCCAACTCTGACAACCTAGATCACCCCACCCAGGTCTTCCCAGCTCCCGGACAACCCCTCCCACGACCACTAGAGGAGCAGTTTATGTCGCAAATCTAATTGTGTCTCTCCAGAACTTCAACCCTGCAAGCCCTGAATTCAGAATCAGCCCACACTCCTCAGATGGGCACTGAGGATCCTCTTCTGTCTGGTGCCAACCTTCTCCATGCCCGTGTCAACTACTCCACTGCAAACATGTTCTATCCTTGCCCAGCACTTCCCACCTCCATGCTTTTGCCAGCGCCATGCCATCTTCCTAGAAAGCCCCCACTCACATTCACATTAGCCATTCACTCATTTAGTCAATTATTTACTAAGCATCGACCAAGTCCCAGAAAATATCAGCAGGTCAAGACCCTGCCAGCCCCCTCCTTCTGAAACAGCCCCTTGCCACTCCCCCACTGACCTTCTTGATCACCCAGCCCGCTCGGCTCATACCCAGAGGTATGGGTCCAAATCTGTTTCCCCTTTGAGAGACCATCCAGGGAGGGGCCCAGGCTCATGATTGGTATCCCCAGCACTCAGTCCAGGTCTCAAGCCAGAAGATGCCTCCAAATGTGAAGTGAGGCTCAAGGGTAGGATTCCAGGGCCTGGAGAGTAAGAAGCAAGGCGTGGTTCTTGGGAACAGGGGTCTGGGCCCGAGAAGCCCACAGAAGAAACTCTGAGACTGGTCAGGGTGGCCCTCAGCCCCCACAAAGGTATGCCTGAGTGGTCAGGGGCAGCTTTTTCCCTTGAGTCACCCCAAGACCCAGGCCACTCAATAAATTCTTACCACTGGATTTGTTAGAATACTTCTATAATTTAAAACCCAAATATGGCAGGGTCAGGTCTTGCCTGGGGAGGGAAATTAAGGGGGTCACACTGGGCACTGCTCCCTCCCAGTCAGGAGGTTGGGGTGGGAAAGTGGCTGTTTTCCTAAAGGGGGCAGTCAGTAGGGGTTGGAAGCCCCAGGCTGGAATTTTCACCCCTGGCAGAATAGACCAGGGGCCAAAGAAGTGCCCCTGGTCTCCTCCTCACCATGGCTCAGGACCCTAAATGAAGGGTTCATTTTGCTGGAGTTGGTTGGGGTGGGAATGGAGGTATCAGAAGAACCGTGGCAGGGGTTCAAGCAGGCACCGATGGGTGGGGGGTGGGGCAGGGGTGGGGCACCGTGGCAGGGGTGGGGCCAAGCTAGGCGTCTGTCTTGCTATGCTCCAGCCTCCTGGATGTCAAACAGAGCTTTGGTCAACACCTAGGAGGCAAAAGTCTGGAGCTTAGGAGTCCCTTCCAGTCCCCCTCAGTGCACATTTAGATCATGGGGAAACTTTTGACCCACAAAGGGGCTCTAGGATGGAGAGGATAAGAAGGCTTCTGGGGCCGAAGGAAAATGCCAGTACCCAGCATAGAGTGCCAGGCTGGGTGGGGAGTGATTTGGATCCCTGGGATGGTAGTGAACTCCGAGAGCTGTGCAGAGGATGACAGAAGCCGGGCTTCCAAACCATCAAGCAAAGCTCAGACAGCCTCTGGCCCCAAATCCAGGAAGCACATATTTAACCAGGCTAGGGTTAAAAGGTCCCACAGGCCAGAAGCCTTTGCTCAACTGCCTCTGGCTGAGAACAGCCGCCGCCGGCCTGGTAAACGTGCCATACACAGCAGGAGCCCGCCTGCCAGGTCAATAAAGAAGGCCTGGGTGCCCTCCATGCCTCACCGAAGAGGGTCACTGGATACCCTCGCAGTGAAAAAGGGCTGTCCAGAGACTTAGAAGACTGCCTCCATCTCTGCCACAAAATCCTCCTCTGTGAAATGGATAAGAACCTTGCCCATGGGTCCTGCATTCTCACAAAGCGGCTAAGGGATTCCAAGGGCTAATGGAGGTGGAAGTAAGGTTTAAGCCTGAAAGCTGATATCACCATAGACATTACCATACTACAGAGACCCAGGTAGATACTGATTGCTCCAGCCGCCACACCCCTCCACACAGCATCCGGCTGAGATCAAGACTTCTAACTACATAGGTTCACACGGCGAGTGGCAGGAAAGAAGGCATATGGATGGGGGCTGCTTGGGATCCCGGCAGTTACAACCCCAGGGAAGTTCTAACTGGAAGGACTCAGTAGCAACCAGAGAAGGCTTCCTAGAGGAGGAAAAACCTGCCCTGGAAGCAAGCAGGATGAGGAGCCTGCAGGAGTCCTGACCCATGACCCTTCCTTGAGTCTCTCACTCCAGGAGACATGGGGTTCTCTCCCTCGCGGAGGCACCATCTTGGACCACAGCTTTCCATCCTGTCTTCCACAGAATTGGCTGGGTTGGCAGTGAGGGGTGTTCCCCTCACTGGGGTGTTCCCTCAGGCAGCCAGCACAGGTCCAGAGTGTGGGAGGAGACTCAAAAGGGGAGGGGTACAAAGCACAGCCACAACCTCAATGCAAAGTGAGGCACGCGGGGACATGGCTCCAAGCAGGGATGGGGCACCAGGCCAGCAGACCTGGAGACGCCCCCTCCCATCCGCAGCCTCTTGGGAGCTCCTGAGGGTCCAGGTCTGGTGGGGCGCGCCTTGCGGCAAGTTCCCTTCTTCCAGCCATCGTCCCGAGGAGCAGAAGGCAAGGGGACACACACATACACGCCCGGGCACGTCTCTGCACTCCCCCAACTCAACCTCGGTGTCTTCCGCCTGCCTGCAAAGACAACCTGCGGGGCCCTGGGCCTGGGAGCTGTCGCCGTGCGGTCTCGCCTGACCCTGTCGGGGTCATCTGAGTCCGGCACCCGGAGCAGGTTCAGCGCCGCGCCCCGGGGCTGGGTGGGTGTCCCAGACTGCGGGTGGCTGCGCCACTGAGGGAGCACCCCTCAGCCTGCCAGGCGGTCCGGCCCGCGGCCCCGCCCCACTCCCCTCGCGTTCTCTTCTCTGGAGAGAAAGGCCGCAGTTGCACCCCGAAAGCGCCTCCGTCCCCACCCCTCCCGGCCCGCCGCGCCCCAGGGTCTCCACAAAGTTGCTGCAAGTCGCCGCAAGTCGCCGGGGCTGCAGCGGCAGGGGAGGGTGAGGCGGGGCCGCGCGACGGGCAGGAGCACGGTCACGACCTGGGGTGCCGAGCGCGTCCCCTCCCAGCCCCGAGCGTGCACGCCCCCCCACACACGCGCACCAGGCATCTAAAGCCCGCTGCTGCCCTCGAGGCTCCCGCCCAATCAGAGGCCGCGTACGCGGTGCCGCCGCTGGCAGACACCCCGGCGCCCGGGCCTGCGCCACTGTAGCCTCGGCCCCGCAGCAGCGGGGCCAGCCCGGCCATGCTCACCATCCCAGGCGCGCCGTCCGCGCGCGGCTGCGCTCGGGCCGGCATTCCCCGGCTCGGCTGCCTCCGGTTCCTGCTCCGGCTCCGGTTCCCGCTCCTCAGGAGCGGCGGCGAGACAGACGGAGAGCAGCGGGGAGATCGAGGACCGGGCTGGGCAGGTGGGAGAAGGCAGAGGGGCGCCGGAGAGGCCGGGCTGGAAGGGGGAAGAAGTGCGGCTGCGCAGCGGAGGGGGCCGGCGCAGGGCCCAGATCCACGATGGTGGCCGCGGCGGCAACCGCGGCAGGGAGGGCGTGTGTGTGCACAAGAGCGCGCGGCGTGGTGCGCGAGAGGGCCTCGGTTCTCCTGAGCGCCCGGCTCCTGCCTCCTGCTCGCCACGGCGCGATGCCGGCGGAATCCCTACCGCGCGCCCCCACCGTTCGGCGCTCACACTCGCACACCCGGGCACGCACACCCGGCGCCGCACTCCCTACTCGGTCTCCTGGGGCGGTCACAAAGGCCCCCAAGCCGGGCCGGCTCGAGCCCTCGGAGCGCGGCCCTGCGCCCCTCCCGTACCCGCCGGCCTCAGGTGCCCCTCTACTCACGGTGGGGACCCCGCGGGCGGCCCGGCTTCCGCACCCTGCCTGGCCGGGCCGCGGTCGCGCTCCCAGCCCGAACCCGGGCCCGGGTGCCGACTCGGGTTTCCCGCACTCCCGTCCGAAGCGCCGGCCCCCTCCGCTGCGCCGCCGCCCTTCTTCCCCCTTCCTGCCCGGCCTCTCCGGCGCCTCTCTGCCTTCTCCCACCTGCCCAGCCCGGTCCTCGGTCTCCCCGCTGCTCTCCGCCTGTCTCGCCGCTGCTTTCTCCCGCGCCCCCTCCTCCCCACCGCCTTGCGCTACCTCTCACATTCCCCGCATTACAGCGGGTGCCGCCCGCCGCTCGCGAGGCCCAGAGTTCGAGGGCGCAGTGGGCCGCGAGGGGACGCGCCGCGCCCGGCCCAGCCGTCCCGTCCGCTCTCCGCGGCTACTAGGTTCAGCCTGGCGCTAGGGTGGCAGCGTCCCGCGCTAGCCTCGGCTGCCGATGACAGCTCTCATCTCGCCCGGGCTTAAAGGGCTAGCGCACCCGGCTCTACCGGCCCCACCCGGGGGCGCCGGGGAGGGGACCTCGCCGCGCGGGAACAGTCTGGGGCGGTGGCACAGCAGCGGCCGTGCTGGCGACGCCCTGTAGGCCGCGGTGGAGCCCGGCCCTCCAGGCTGGAGGTGAGTCAAGGAGAAGGACGGTCGGGAGCTGCCCGGACCACGCCATCCAGGGGGCGCCCAGCAGCCAAGTCTCTGGGCCCGCAGTGGGTGTGCGGCGGCGCAGGCTGAGCGCCCTGGACTGCGGGGCGGGGGAGGGGGATCAGGGAAGCTGCTCTCCGAGTCTGAACTCCAGGGGAAGACACCTCATGCTGGGAGAACAGGGCTCACGGGGTGGCGTCCCGTTCCTGCTGTGTGACGTTGGGCAAATACCTACCCCTCTCTGCACCTCAGTGTACCCCCTTTGTAAGGACATGGCTTCCATCATCTCTGAGCCCATGCCCAGCTCTGATACGGTATTAGATCCCATAGGAGGGGGAGTCGCAAGGTAGGCCCTCAATCCCCAGAGTCCCACCTCCTTCTTGCCTGTGAGAGCTGAGGCCACCGCTGAGATTGCAATCCTTGCCACCCTGGACACTCACCAGGCCGAGTCGGCCTCCTCCTTCCTTCTGCCTCATCAGGGGAACCAGGGAACGAGGCAAAGTTGAGTTGGTACAGGGACCTACTCTTTGCAGAGCTCCCTCACATCCAAGATCTCCTTGGGCCCTCATGACACCCCTGGGAAGTAAAGTGCACCCCTAGGCTCCCGGTCAGCCTGATCCTGGACAAGTCTGGCACATGAGCTTTTCGTCTTCAGGGCCCCTTCCCCACCCTTACTTCCACCCCAGACTGTCCCTTGCTCCCCAACCCTGCAGAGGGATGCATTTTGTCCATTGTTCAGGAAGTTTCTGTCATGTGCCCCATCCTGTGCTAGGTCCTGGAGACACACAGATGATTTAGACACATTCCTACCTTCAGAAAACAAGAATAAGGAAAGTGTGATAGAGCCATGGGGGGTGGAGGAGGTCCTGGAGGAGGTGACATTGAAGCCGGGTAGTGAAGGATGAGTAAGAATTGGCCAGGCAGAAAGGAACAGAAAGGGGATGCCATGCCAAGAGAAGAGCATGTGCAAAGACCTGGAAGTGGGAAACGGAGTGATGGGTGTTTCGGAGGGAAGAGAAGCTATAAATCCTTGATTTGAGGAGTTTCAACTTTGTTCTGGGGCAGCAGCAGAGCTGCTGCTTGGCAAATCTAGGCAGCAGCGCCCACCCCCACCTTTCAGCCATCACAGAGGTATGGCTAAGGGCTTCCCAAACTCTGCAGCTTTTGCCAGCGGGCCACCTCCTCTTCTGTTCCTCCTCTCCAAGGCCAGACCCAACCTCTGTGCCCATATCCACAGCCAGAGGCAGCACAGCCTCCCGCTACTGACAGAGCTGGAAGTAGGAGAAGCCCAGGCTGTGCTGTGGCTGTGATGTGAGTCCAGGAAGAGCCAGGCTCCTGTACCCACCCGTCATGAAGATGCCCTGTAAAGACTCCAGACTTTGGTATCAGGCAGATCCAGTGTCGGTTCCAGCCTCAGTGTCCTCCTCAGTACAATGGGAATAAAAATACATTGCCAGTAAGGTGACTGGCGAAGAATCCACGAGGGACGATGCTCAGGAATGGCTCAGCACACAGCGGGCATGCAGCAAATGGCCTTTTCTTACCTGTGCCTGAGCTTGACTTTGTGGCCCATCCCAAAGTCCCTGTTGTCTCCCTTCTCCCTCCTTCCCTGGCCATTTTCTTTCTGCCTCCGTAACAGATTTCCTGGGGACACCAAGCGAGATGAGCTCACAGGTGTTGCCTGCTCTGGCTCAGCACGCTTCCTGATGTATCTTCCCAGGGCTTCCAGGTGAACCCTAGGGAAGCCACACGGAGACAAACAGCCTTTCCCCAGAGTCTCTGACATCCACACGGAGCAGCAATCCCAGCCTGCATCCCCATCCAGTTCTCCCGCTTACTTTTGCTGTCTTGGGAGGCACACAGCCTTTGTGTCCGTGCTTGGGAATTTATGCCCAGCTATGTGGTGCAAACTCAAATAGGTGGCATACTTTCTCTGAGCCTTAACTCCCTCTCTAAGTATGGGAGCAAGCTGGTATGTGCCACAGGGATGATGAGCCTAAGTCTGTGTCATTTATTGTCCCCAGCAAGTCCGAGCCTAGGCCCTCTACCCAGGAGTTCTGCACTAAGGCAGTCAGGTGCAGAGGCCTCTCTGGGATCCCCTTGTGTCCTCTCCTTGTGCTGGTGGCCAGCCACCTCTTCCTTCCAGCAGGCTTTACAGAGAGGCATGGCATGAACCAGGCCCACTCCATGGCCAGAGCAGTAGTAGTTGGGGGCCTGGGGCAGGGACCAGGAACCAGACCAGTTGGGCAGCTCCAGGAGGGAGCTCCTCTACTAGGAGCTGGCAGCTGCTTCCCACCACAGAGTCTGGGTCAGTGCCCCCACAAATGCCTGCCCAGGGCTGCTCTGCTGTTTCCAGCCATCTCCACAGGCCAGTCATGGAGAACTTTGGCAGTGTCCCAGATTTAATCATTATGCCAGGTCCAGCCGGGACTGAGAGTGGCCCACATGGAATTTGAGGAGGCAGTGGGCATTTCCCACCCACTTCCTCTGAAACCCCTGGCTTCCTAAGCCAGGCTGAAAAGTAGGTCACCAAGGGTTCAGAGAAATGCCCCACCCAGCTGGGCTGTCTCCTTACAATCTCTAAACACATCCAATCTCCCCACCTCCACCTCTCTCCCCACCTGTCCCCACCACCTTTTGGTTTCCACACATCTCTCAAGTCCTTCCATCCCTAAGCAGCTGGCATCAACCACTCCCTCCCTATCCCAATCTCCCTCCTCTTCCCTCCTCCTCTGCCAAGAGTGTGGCCAGAAGATTTTTGTTCATTGGCTTACCCTCATGCTCATCTTGGTGTTATCATTCCCATTTCAGATAAGAAAAAAGCAAGGCTCAGGGAGGTGAGAGCCAACATTCTTTATTCTTTCTGTGAACAAGGGTTGTAGGCCTACTTCATGCCACACACTACGCCAGGCATGAGGAATACACAGTGGAGACCTTAGAGTCTAGAGGAGACAAGAAGAAACCAAACCACCATGCACACAAATGTAAAATGACAACTGGGACAAGTGCTATGATGAGGTCTTTGGGGACCTGGTCTGGTCTGGATTAGGGGGTCAGGAGAGGCTCCCTTCAGGAAGTGACACTCGATGTAGCACCAGAAGCTTGAGTAGACAATGACCCACAGAAGTGGGGACTCCAGAGAGAGGGAATAGCATGTGCAAAGTCCCCATGGTGAGAGGAAAGAGAGAAAGGCTGTGTGACCAGAGCATGAGGAGAGGATTCGCGATGGAGGTGCAGGTGGCATGGGTCAGGACAGTAGGTTCTAGTGGGACCAGCAAGGAGTTGGGTTTTAGCCTGGAGGCTCTGGGCTGGCCCTGGAGGTTCAAAGCAGAAGACAGTGCCACCACTGTTCCTCCAGCTATCTCCCAGCCTACCACCCTTCACCCAGGGACCACTTCCACCCTCTTCTCTGATGCCCAGGCCCTGGCACAAGGCGGGACATCCTGAAAACTCAGACTGCACAGCTGAGTGGGCAGCGTCATGAGGAAGCAAGAGGCCTTGGCCCCGCCTCTCATCAGATGCTAACTGGATGTCTCTGGGCAGCACCTGCCACTCCATGTCCCCCAGAACTGTAAAGAATGGACTGATCATCTTCTGCTATCTCTGGTTGATCCTGGACCATAGCCTGTAATAAGGGAATGGAGAAGATACAGCATGACTCCACCCAGGCCAGATTCCAGGGCCTTGTCCCTGCAGTGGGCAGAGGAGCTACCTGAGGCCTGCTGCTGACCTAGGCTTTCCCATCCCTCCTCCGCCCCTGAGCCTGCCCCTGGTCCTTCCCAAGGAGGGCACTCCAGGAAGCTTTCTTCCTGTCCCCACCCCAGGCCTCACCTGCACCCTCACCCATGTCTCCACCTGGTAAATGCATCAGACGCCCGGGAGTCCCTGTTGGCCTGTCAATGCTCAGCTGGACTATTGGGCCTCTAGTTTTCCAGCTGTGGAAGGGTGTCATTCTCTACTCTTCCTGGCTTCCTGGACAGGAGAGGACGGTGGGAACTGGAATTCTTGCCATAACCATCAGCTACTCTGTCTGGAGTGCTCCTTCCTGTCAAGCATCCTCCTGAGACCCTGAAGTCAGCACCACTGTGGGCCACAGACACACCAGCTGACCTCATAAAACCTTCCCTGGAAAGTTGTAGCCAGCTGCATCCCCCGAGTAGGACTGTATCGCTGCCATGGGCACCAGTGAGCCCATGGATTATAGAACCCATTAACAGCTGGAAAACTGAGGCTCCAGACAGAAGGGGTTGGCCCAGGCCACCATAGCAAGCCCTCCTGCCTCACCCCATCCTAGACTGCCTGGGCAGGTCCAAGGAAGCAGGACTATGTGGGGTGCCATTTCCCATCCCCCAGTGTTCCCTCACAGGTTCAGAAAGCAGCTCCTCCCTCCCAGGAGACACTGCACCCTGCCGTCTCTCTTGTGTGAGTTGCAGTTTCTGCTTGGGAGGCTGCCTTACCTTGTTAAGGACCCTGCCTAAAGAGGTGGGGATGGCCCTGTAGGCGCTGTCCGCAGGTCAGCACAGGGTCTTGAGCTCATGGAGCAGGGTCCAGGCCAGCTTGTTGAGAGGGCCCAGGTCAATCCACAGTCTGCCACATCAGCTTTTTCTATACTAACCATGCCTACCTGAAACGTGGGGAGTGCTTTGCTGTCCACAAGTCTAATTGCATGTGTGTTCTCAGGGAAGGCGCCCTACAGCCCAGGGAAGCAGGAGCAGGGATTATCCACATTGTAC